TTCCCTTTGAGATTCTCTCAAAGATATTATGTGGCACAAGACTTAATTTCAATAGTGATTTCCTGTTTTAATGCTTTATGATGAAAATAATTATAATTTGGTACATTTAAATTTTAATAAAAATAGCCATCTAGACAATAACTTGTTAATAGTATTAATAATATAAAATTATAAAATATCAATATTAATTTATTAATCATATATTAAGTATTAATGAATTATAAATTTTAAACAAACATCTTAATATTTTAAGATAATTTAAGTAAAACATTTTAAAATTGCTTACCGTTTATGAACATTTAGATACTTAATTTAGTTCCTAGTAAATAGAAAAATGTTCCTAAAATATGCATAAGGAGAAAAAAAAGAAAAGAAAAACACACTGATTATTTATTTCCAAAGAACAAGTAAACAGGAAGCAACTGATGAGAAGCAGAATTATTTGGGTTGGAAATAGCCCTTAGCTTTTATCTTCTGTAGTGTAATTTTCTTCTGAGTCTAGTGTATGTGTGTGTGTGTGTGTGTGTGTGTGTGTGTGTGTGTGTGTGTTTTGTCAAAGGTTAAGTCTTTTTTTGATATGAAAATTTTAGAACAATTAAGCTGATGTAAATCAAATTACTATTCTTTGAATAGTAAGCCATCCTTATGCTCTCTGTAATTTTTGCTTTTTCCGTTTTAATCTCTGCATCATTAATAATAATAATTTTGTTCTGTAAAGATAACATATGATCAGTACAGATATATTGAGAAATGTTAAGAATCAAAGAAAGAAAATAGTAACCTGTAGTCTCACCATGGAAAGACAACAAATATCCTTTATCTGAGAAGATTTTTTCTGTTGTCCAGATATGTGAATGTCAAGAGAGAAGATAAAATTAATGAATCAAAACAGTTCCTGTGAACTCATATAGATGTTGCTTTACTGGACCATGGTTTTTAACATTGTTATAGAACATTGTTATAGAAAAGTGTGGGGTTAGTCTGATTATTCTGCCTTTACAAGTAACCTGTTTATTTTGGCTGAGGTGATTGTATGTTCTTTATAGTTTATTCTCTGTACCCTTTCTTTCACCAAAGAGCCTGTTTCATTAAAGACCAAGAACATTTACCCCTTGCCTTTTTATAGAGCTGAGAGTATTATAATCGTCAGTGGCTCAGGGCCTGTCAGATCTCCAGTGAATCATTCTAGATTGTTCACCATACATCTCTGTTCATCTTAGTTTCTCTCTATTCCTCTCTTGATTTTTTTGCTGGACAGCATATTATGAGGAATATTTATTGTTTGTGACATTGTGGCCATCAAATTCTTAAATAAGATTTAGTCCTTTCTCAGAGATGGTATTATCCTTTACCCCTTATGTTAAAGTGATATGAGCAATGTAATTTTTAACATTTTAAAAATACATATCAACTTTTGAAATTAGATAGCCTCATATAATACCAGAAAATATACATTCATAGAAATTGTTTTGGTCTTAATTCTAGATTTTTTAAGTTACAGAATTAAAACATTAAACTGAATCCATTTTGCATCAATAAAGGATTTTTATATCATATTTTTTAGTAACTTCCTTTGTCTTTAAGTTGGCCTTTAAAGCATATATATCCAGTATCACTCCATAGAAACCTGAGTTATTTACAAGTAAAATTTATAGTTCATTTATTTTATGTGATACATTTGTTATGGTTTGTATTTGCTGAATATATTTACACATTTTATGTGGAAAATCATTTTAATTTAAAGAGTTTTGTTCTAAAGAAAATCAGCTGTTTTAAAAGTACTTTGTAACTGGTTATAAGCCATAATAATATTATTGTTGTGAAGCATTTTATTTTCCTGACTGTAAGAGTCAAACCCAAGAAAAAAATTTTAATATGAAAAAATAGTCTATCATACAATGATCAGGATATATACATTTACTAGATCATATTTTGAGGTGACCATTTTGGCATATGTTGAGTTGGTACTAAAAATGAAAAGATGAGCTTGCATTTCTAGCACAGACTAAAACTATGAGGATGATATTCTTAACAATTATGTGCATTTAACCAGAAATTTTCACCTAAAGAAAAGAACACATGCTTGAAGTAAGTTTTTTTTTTTTAAAAAAAAATCATTAGTGTCAACATTATATTATACAAATTAAGAAATATGATTTTTTCATTTATGAAACACATTACACCAAAGTAGGAAGGGTTAACATCGTTCTAACATATAATAGAAGATAGAGAATGGACCAGCAATGTAGTCATAGGGTTGATACTAGAGTTCCAGAGATCTTAGGAGTCCCAAACATAAGCAGGGAGAATTTTGGCTTTAGAGGTAACATCTATCTTGTCCATAGAACTTGACGTATTTTTGTGCCATAACCTTTACTAATCTGATTGAAATGTTTTACTTTGTCTCCAAAAGCATTGCTACCTGTGGTAAAGTTTCTGACAAAGAGCATGCTCTTGGATTATAATAACCACTGTAGAAAGCTTATCACATGTTAAGTGTTTGAGATATAGAAATTCATTTCATTCTTATAGCACTACTATAAATTAGGTATTACCATATCCTTTTCACAGATGAAGAAACTGAGCCTCAGGGTATTGAGCCAGGACACTCCACCAGCAGGTGCACACACTGGCCTGTTCTAGCCCAAGTATGTTCACCACTATACTGGACTGCCTTCCTGTGTGATTTCATCTGTTTCTGTCTAGGAAAAATAATTCCATATAACATAAGAGACTAAAGGAAGTGTATAGTATTTTAAATCCTTACATATTACTGAGAAGAAAATGGAAGGCTTTTAACTTTTATGGTAAATGGTACAATTAAGTTGTTTATACTTATTTATGAAACATAGCAGGCTGGGCATGGTGACTCATAGCTGTAATCCCAGCACTTTGGGAGGCTGAGGAGGGCTCATCATTTGGACTCTGGAGTTCAAGACCAGCCTGGCTGCCATGGTGAAACCCTGTCTCTATTTAAAAAAAAAAAAAAATAGCTGGTTGTGGTGGCACATACCTGTAATCCCAGCTACTGGGGGAGGCTGAGGCAGGAGAATCACTTTAACTTGGGTGACGTGGGTTGCAGTGAGCTGAGATCACACCACTGTACTCCAGCCTGGGTAACAGAGCAAGACTTTGTCCTGAAAACAAAAAAACAAACAAACAAAAACCCAAAACAAACAAAAAACCATAGCAAAGGCATATTTTATTTTAAATGCATTTCATTGTCTGGTGTACCCAACCATCCATATATGACCTAGCACTTCTGAAAGATAAATTATCTTGCCACTTACACAGACTTAGAATAGGATAGCATGGTGAACTGAGGAAGAAGTGAGAGCATGTTAAGTTGGTGGACCATGATCAGCATCAGCCAATTTTCGTATAGTTACTTTAGTTTCAGAGATTTGATATAGTGGTCTAAGAGGATGCTGAATGAACAGCTGTTAATAGTTGACTCTGCTTTGCTTATTTGTGTTCGCTACCAGAGGTGAGAAAGAAACGAATAATTCCTCTAAGGGGAAATGGTCCATGCTCCAGTGGGTTTATGTTTCATTTGAAGTGTCTTCCTCTGTCACTTCCTCTCCTCTCTACTTGGGGTTTGTGAAAGCTTGGAGTGTGTTGTACAATATCCTCTTTGGATTATGAATTTTCTTACAGTTTTCAGAGCACTTTGAGAGCTATCTGCATCATAAGGGATAACACAGGATGGATGAGAAGAATGAAAGCCTGTAATAATGTATAGAATTATCACTGGGTATGGTCCAGGTTGTCTTTCAGACTTACTTCTCCAGCCACTCCTATTTCAAAGACGTGGCAGTTAAGGTCCAGGAATTTCTGGTGATCTACATTCCTAGTTAAGAGTCAGAAACATGCTACAGACTAGTTCTGTCTCAGAATGAGGTAGCTCCTAGTCTAGGACTTTGCCGCAAACAAAGTATACTTCTATTTATATTGAGTCATTTAATATGCAGAATCCCAAATAGATATTGAGAACTTTGGGGATTATACCTTGATTTATTTATTATGTTTTTGAGTACACCTCTCTGAATAGTTACCATTTGACTGCTCTGTCATTACAATACACGTGTGACTTATCACAGTCTACTGATAGCAACATTTTACTGCTTTGAGTGACACATGGAAATCTTATTTCCATTTAAATGCTGTTACCTTTCCCATTTTTAAATATTATTGACTTGAGTATCAGATGGTGTTATAATGTTTGTTTCAGTCATCTTGTGTATCTTATGAAACTCATGAGGAGGATCATCTATCGTATGTAGCCATATTTCAGCGCGTTTTGTTAATTCTTTCCTGATGCTCCAAGATTCCATCTTCCATCATTTCTTTCTGCTCAAAAAAGTTATTCATTCTTGAAGTATAGTTTTCCTGGATATAGAATTTGAAGATGACAGTTCTTTGTTTTCAGCACTTGGAAAGTGTGCCATTTCCTTCTGGCCTGTATGGTTTCAGGTAAGAAATTTGCAGTTATTTGAGTTGTTGTTCCTTAATAGGTAATGTGTTGTTGCTCTCTGTATGCTTTTGAGACTTTTTTTTTTTGCACTTCGCTTCTCAAATTTTTAATTATGAAATGTCCTAGAGTGAATTTCTTTGGGTTTATCCTGTTTGAGATGTATTCAGCTTATGAATCTATAGATTTATATTTTTTTGGCTGAATTTGGAAAATTTTAAGCCATTATTTTAAAAGTACTTTTTCAAACTCACTCTCTTTTGTCCCCTCTCTTCTGGACCTCTGATGAATGTAAATATTGAACATTTTGTTATTGTGTTACAAGTCCTTGAGGGTCTGTTATTTGTTTGTTTTTAGTCCTTTTTCTTTTTCTTGTTAAGACTGGGTAAATTTGATAATTCTGTTGATCTATTCTTGGGTTCACTGATTCTATCCTTTGTTACCTTCACTTTATTATTGAACATATTAAGTTTATATTTGTTGTATTTTTTAGTTTTATAATTTCCATTTGTTTATTTTTTGATTTCTCAAAAATATGGAATGCTTCACGAATTTTCATGTCACTTTTGCACAGGGACTATGCTAATCTTATCTATGCTATTCCAATTTTAGTGTATTTGCTGCTGAAGTGAGCACCATGTTACTTTTTTACAACATCGACTTCCTTGCTGAGATTTTCTATTTTTTTCATTTGCTGCTAAATAATTTGCAATTCCGCATTGATCTATTTTGAGGATGGCTGCTTTAAAATCTTTGTCAATAAGTTCTTCATCTGACTCATCTCGGGGTTAGTGTCAGTTGTCATTTCACAGTCAAGTTGTAGTTTTCCTGATTTTTTGTTTGATGGGTAATTTTTCATTCTATCCTGGAATTTGGCTATGGTGTTAGAATACTCAGAGTCTGATTTAAATCTTTTGTTTTAGTAGGCAGTCATCCCATTTAGGTTTAGCAAGAAGATCCTGGCCTAATTTTGTAGCTTGTGCATCCAATGACAATTACATTTTCAGAGACTTTGTGGCGCTAGTTTGGTCTGCTTGGTTTATCTGGGGCTGCTAGGGCTCCTCTTGGTACCTGCTGGTGCTGCCTGAAGGAGTGGAATTCCTGGGTAGGGCCTCATGATACCTCTGATGGTGGCAGAGGAAATACAAACAGATATCCTGGAGACAGGCACTAGTGCTGAGTACTGTCCCTCTCTCCAAGGAAAACACTTCCCAGGTGGAGCCTTTTTCTGTGGCAGGATACCCTTTGCTGGTGCTGCAAGCTGCCTGCTGTTTCTCATTGGAGGAAGGGAGTCTTAGGCTTGGTAAGTAAGGAGAGTGCTTTCCTGGCTTCTTATGGTCAGCAGGTGTATTAGTCTGTTCTCATGCTGCTAATAAAGACATACCTGAGACTGGGCAATTTAGAAAGGAAACAGGTTTGGCTCACAGTTCCACATGGCTAGGAAGGCCTCAGGAAACCTGCAATCATGGTGGAAGGGGAAGCAAACACGTCCTTCTTCACAAGGCAGCAGGAGAGAGGAGTGCTAAGCAAAGTGGGAAAAGCCCCTTATAAACCCATCAGATGTCGTGATAACTTACTATCACAAGAACAGCATATGATTTAATTACCCCCTACCCTGTCCCCCACAAGGTGGATTATGGTAAGCACAATTCAAGATGAGATTTGGGTGGAGATACAGCCAAACTGTATCAGTAGGGCTCCTGCTCCATTTTCCCTGGCCAACTTGGTAGTGTTATTGGGATTCCCCTTTGGTCTGAGTGGGAATGACCTTTTTGGGCTGTTTACTAGGTTGAGGTTCTAGAAACAATGGGCTTGGGTGACCTTATTCTGTGAGGCTGTGGGTTGTAAGACACCCTCTCACAATGACATTCCTCTAGTTGTGGGGTCTCTAACCAGTTCATCTTTCGGAGTTCTCTGGCTTCCTTTGGTGTTTTTTCTAGGGTTTGTGTTTATACTTAGCTTGGAGGAACTGGGGAAAAGTATCTGTCCCATTTTGTCCAGACCAGAAGTCTTATGCAGGGACTGTTTTTGAGTGGAGGTGGGGTGGGAGTAGACCTTTAAGACTACCCATAATAGAAAAAGTAAATTTGGTTAGTGGCTTTGTTTTAGTAGAAAGTTCTCTATTTATGTTTCTACTTTTCATAATTCCCTATAAACAAAACTGAAATGCAGTCTACCTGTTCTCTCTCTTTCCCCCCACTTTGTAATCATGCTGTGATATGGTTTGGCTGTGTCCCCACTCAGATCTCATCTTGAAGTGTAGCTGCCACAATTCCCACATGTCATGGGAGGGACCTTGTGGGAAGTAATTGAATCATGGAGGTGGGTCTTTCATATGCTGTTCTCATGATAGTGAATAAGTCTCATAAGATCTATCTGATGGTTTTGTAAAGGAGAGTTCCCCTGCACACATTCTCTCTTGTTTGCTGCATGGCAGATACTCCTTGCTCTTCCACTATGATCGTGAGACCTCACTAGCCATATGGAACTGTGAGCCCATTAAACCTCTTTTCTTTATAAATTACCCAGTCTTGGGTATGTCTTTTTAGCGATATGAGAACAGACTAATACATGGTGCCTCTATGGGCTTCAGTGAGCCGAATTTCTTATATTTTTAGGAGTGTGGAGGAAGAGTTAAAGCCACACTTTGAGTTTGCCATTCTTGTTGCAGTGGGAACGTGAATCAACAAATACTCTTTAGGCCACCACTTCTCCTTCTACCTTCCTCCTGATTGCCTCTTGTCAAACTTAACTTCCCCAGGATGGGAAAAATGAGCATTTAAAGACAGTCAAATCTTATATGTCACACTCAAAAAGGGAAAGAAACCCTAAGTGTAAATGCCATCTGGCTTTATTTACTCATCCTCCCCCGTCTCAGAAACACTTTGAGCAGATGCAGGCTTTCACTCTAAAGAGCAGTTTATAGGAACAGATTGAAGAAAAGATATGTTTTAAACATTTCAGCACTATAAATAGATTCAATTAACTTTGTCACTAAGTGTTCTGTAACTTAAGATGCCCCAGCCCTTGGCACATACAAGCAAAAATCTAAAAAACACAGGGAAGGTGCTAATGAAGGTTTTGGATAAGGGTTCAAATGGCAAAATACTACCTCACTTTTAAGAGAAATCTAAAAGACAATTTAAAGTAGTAAATATAACTCTATAAAATACAAATGGAATTCTTAAATTTCAGGAGCTACTCAAAGATTCAGAAATGAATCGTATTTCCTCATTTGTTGGGCATTAAAAAGCTTGGGAATGAATGGTGCCAGAAACTATAACATTAAAAGTAGAAAAACGTGATTCTTTCTTAGATGAATTTATGTGTGACTAGAAATGCTGTGAAATGTTTTCAGGTAGGAAAGTACTTGCAGCACAGAATAAAATGCCTGTTCTCTAGGATTTGTGGGAGAAAACTTTATCTTAAATTATTCTAGGTATGAAATCATTTACGGCTGTAACTTTTTATTTTAACACGGTGGGAGTGAGAAATATGGACCACTAAAGATGCTCACATCCTTATCCCTGGAACCTGTGAATATGTCACTCTCCATGGCAAAAGAGACTTTACAGATGTGATTAAGTTAAAGGCCTTGAGATAGGGAGATTTTATGCTGGATCATTAGCTCTGGAGAAAGAGGAAGAGTCTGTGAGCAGTGGAAGCTTCTGAAAGCTGGAAAAGTCAAGGAAAATGATTCTCCCTGAATCCTAAAGAAAGAACTATAGCCCTGCTAACGCTTGGATTTTAGCCTAGAAAGGACTCAGACCAGATTTCTGACCTCTAGAATTATAAGGTAATAAATTTGGGTTATTCTAAGTCACAAAGTTTTGGGATAATTGGTTACAGCAGAAATAGAAAACTAATACAAATACCTGAGTTATTTTTCTGCCTAGCCATATGCAAAAAGCTGAAACTGGACCCCTTCCTTACACCTTATTCAAAAATTAACTCCAGATGGAGTAAAGATTTAAACATGAGACCAAACACCATAAAAACCCTAGAAGAAAACCTGGGCAATACCATTCAGGACATAGGCATAGACAAGGACTTCATGACTAAAACACCAAAAGCAATGGCAACAAAAGCCAAAATAGACAAATGGGATCTAATTAAACTTAAGAGCTTCTGCACAGCAAAAGGAACTATGATTATAGTGAAACAGCAACCCACAGAATGGGAAAATTTTTTGTAATCTACCCATCTGACAAAGAGCTAATATACAGAATCTACAAAGAACTTCAACAAATTCACAAGAAAAAAACAACCCCATCAAAAAGTGGGCAAAGGATATGAACAGACACTTTTCTAAAGAAGACATTTATGCAGCCAACAAACATATGAAAAAAAGCTCATCACTGGTCATTAGAGAAATGCAAATCAAAACCACATTGAGATACTATCTCATGCCAGTCAGAATGGTGATCATTAAAAAATCTGGAGATAACAGATGCTGGAGAGGATGTGGGGAAATAGGGACGCTTTTACACTGTTGGTGGGAGTGTAAATTAGTTCCGCCATTGTGGAAGATAGTATGGGGATTCCTCAAGGATCTAGAATTAGAAATACCATTTGACCCAGCAATCCCATTACTGGGTATAATATACCCAAAGGATTATAAGTCATCCTGTTATAAAGATACATGCACACATATGTTCATTGTGGCACTGTTTACAATAGCAAAAACTTGGAACCAACCCAAATGCCCATCAGTGATAGACTGGATAAAGAAAAAGTGGCACATATACACCATGGAATACAATGCAGCCATAAAAATGGATGAGTTTATGAATTTACAGGGACATGGATGAATCTGGAAACCATCATTCTCAGCAAAATGACACAAGAACAGAAAACCAAACACTGCATATTCTCACTTATAAGTGGGTGTTGAGCAGTGAGAACACATGGACACAGGGAGGGGAACATCACACACCAGGGCCTGTTGAGGAGTAGGGGGGCTCGGGGAGGAATAGCAGGGCATAGAGGGATTGGGGAGGGATAACATTAGGAGAAATACCTAATGTAGATGACAGGAGGATGGATGCAGCAAGCCACCATTGTATGTGTATACCTATGTAACAATCCTGCATGATCTGCACATGTACCCCAGAACTTAAAGCATAATTTTAAAAAATGACTAAATAGAATAAAACAAAAATTTTTTAAAGTTGTTTTCAATTAAAAAAAAGAGCATTGCTATTTGTCTCATATAATTTTTTATGTAAAAGCATTATCTACACCACTGACTTTGCCCCCAGGAAAACATCTGGCAATGTTTGAAGACATTTTTTACTTTAACAACAGGGGTGGGAGGTGTATTACTGGCATTGAGTGGGCAAAGGCCAGGGGTGACGTGAAATACCTTACAATGGAATGACCAGTCCCCCACAAGAATCATCTAGCCAAAGTTGAGAAATTCTGAGCTAGGTTAATTTATACATTCAAAGCATGTAGGAAATTAAGCCTTACTATTCAGTTTGCTCTAAACTAATGGCACAGTCCTAAACTAACTGCATAGACCTGTACTGGCCAGTAGGGTAGCTATTAGAAACACATGACTGTTCAAATTTAAATTCATCACAGTTAAACAAATTGAAAAATCCACTTTCTCAGTTGCACTCATCATTTTTCAA